ATTAATCTTTCTTCAGCACTGCGGAATTTTCTTGACACTTTGAATACGTATAAAAATTTTCTTCAAAATATTATACTTTCTCACGAACATTTGGAGTTTCGCTGTGAGAAGCGGAGCTGGTGGATAGTCGTTTTGGAGAACGATCCATAGGTGGATGATTGAAGATCCAGCCATCATTAATCCACCAAACAATAAACCCCAACGAATATTTCTGGAATAAAATGCTGATACCTTTTATATCTATTCTAAATGAGAAGGCAATGAACAGGATAGGATTGGAGCGACAACGTAATGCAGCTGAAGGTCGTTTGCCAGGTACCAAGTCCAACCCATGCACTGAAAAAAACACTCCATTTTTATAAAAAAAATCACAACCGTAGTTAGTGCAGTGACAAGCGGCGCACTATCACACGCATGGTCCAGAGATTGATGCCTGCCCGGCCAGATTAAGGGATGAATTTCTCTCATCATTCCCAACTTCAATTCATCTCAGTATTTCTTCGAGAATACTAGGTAAATATTTCATTGCAGAATTACTCAGATCTCTTTTCTTGATTGTACTGACATTTCATTTTCTAACTTACACATTCTTTGTCCTGAAGGAGGAAGTTGTTCATATAGATGAAATTCGTCCACCAACTGATACGACACCCTTGTTGTTCTATAGGTCTCCAGAAGGGTCCTGACGTGACATAAGTGAATAGGGTGACGTCGAACAACATGATAACGGCATAAGTGGGAGTAAGCCTGAAACGTTGCGGATTAACGGGTGCTTGTCTGGAAGGTGCCGTACGGAATTATGCAAGTTGCTGACATTAGCATCTACTGATTCACCTGTTTCCTGCCTACAGGCTAACGGTGTAGCGTGGCTACACTTTGCGGTGGAAGTGAGGCCTTTGAAAACGACGAGTCCGTCGAAAGGTCGGCCAGAATAAATATTTCTACCTACAAACCTCGAGGCAGAAGCAAAAACTAACGATTTCAAGAACAACAGACATGCCGAGGTTCGAAGATGAGAGGACTTGGAATATGAGTCATCCTATTACTAAATTCACAGGGGCACAGTTGGGGCAACAAAAAGTGGCGGTGCTAGCTCATGCTTACTTCATGGATCGGCTCTTATCTGATGCGGTCAGGTTAAATTTTTTCCAGGGCAATAGTGAGTACTCACAACAAGTCGAATGAATCGAAGAGGAGAATAAACAATTCAGAGACCCTTTTCCTACACATTACCTTCGGCGAAGCTTTAAGAGCAAGGAAATCCAACCGACCTCGTGTAGCGTTTGACGTAGATCATTAACCACATCAGTGGATTTCGAGCGTTTCGGATGACTTTATCTTTGAGTAGCTTCTTGAAGAATAGATAAGAAGCCAGTAGTCCGCTGAAAATGTAAGGATGAGATGTTTGGGGAATAACGAATGCCAGAAACATTTTCGGTGACTTAAAGCTGTAACAGATTAAAGGCACAGATCACGATAATTTTAGGGTGCCTATTTTCATTCGAACGGTCGTGAAAAGAGCGCGAAAATCCGCCGATTTCGAGAAAAATATGGCTCCTCAAATGTAGGGAAAGTAGAGGTTGGATGAGATTACCATAACGGAATAACATGGAAGGGGTATTCGGACGAGATCTCAGTTTTTGCAATTGCACAAGAACTGACTACTTCAAGCCAGAACTGTACAGACTGCCTTTCACTGTCGCTATGGGTCATGACAAGGTGATTGAACTTTCTACATGGGTTCCCTTGTGATCGGTGCAGCCTCTACAATGGCAGTGAAACTCGTCCGAGGATACACACGATGCAATCCTGAGCCTTTATAACTCCGTAACTAGGCCGTTTTCAGACCTAATAACGGCGAATATGGTAGACGAGGGGACCTCAAATTCATCCCATGGAGAAATCTCAGAAATCATTTTTATCGTGAATTATGTCATTCAGGTAACCGGTATGAATAGTAAGATGTGCCATTGCATCAGAGATGGTTTCTTTTGTCATGAAATTATGTATTTTAACAAGAAAGGAATTTCGTATCATGACCGAAGCGTAAGGATCCTTAATCAGTTTTGCTATGAATGGAATCACTATTTGACCCTTTGATAAAGTTAGACCGAACCTGAGGAAGAAAAACGAGTCGACGGCCAGTGTTGCTTGAACGATCACTTGAGTATATAAGTATTGCGGAAAATTGATCAGTGTTGGAATAAGATTATCTGAAAAAGTCACTCTGAAGAAATGAGTTGTTCAACATCGCAGGTTTCGGACTTCATATCTTTCCTAATATGATACGTTCGAGCATTTGTTGAGGTGGGAGAGGAGAAGACGTTAGTCAGCTCCCCTAAGGATGGAAGTGATAGAATGATAGAAAAGGCATGGTGAGGGGACTGCTAGGGGGTTCGAATGTTTCGAATGTGGAGAAGGGGGAGGGGGGGGGG